ATTATTATTATTATTATTATTATTAGTTCCAAAATGTCATAACGTCATCGACCGCTAAGCCATGTACCAAGCTAAGAGGACGACGGAAACATCATCAGATAGTGACGCAGGTCGCTATGTTGTCATTATATGTTTATTGCATTCCATTTTGAACATAATGGAAACCAAATCGCCATGCTGGTGATGCTGAGCACATAGGATTATCTTCCATAAGGTTGCCTACTTAGTGTACGAAGTACCAAGATGTACTAGACAAAGAATGGATATGATTAGACCGGTTAAACGTAACCAAACAGGGTTACGCCTTCGTCATGTTATTACACACATTTCCATCTTACAACACAGTAGCGTGCGGGTAGATTCTAAAGGGTTCTGACGATGGTGTATAACACTCTTAATCACAGGGTTTTTGGTATTTGCTCATCGTCCGTATTCTAGAAACTAGAAAACACACCGTTTCGGAAACTGGATCTATTTCCGTCCTCAGGTGAGAGGGGGGAAGACATCCGCTCAGTTGGGTCCCTTAGAAAGAGCTAATCTCAATGTCACTATTATCCGTTTTGAACGTGCATTCACCTTGTTAAATGGCAAGACATTGTTTAAATATATATTAAAAAAAATATTTTGCTCAAAGGAATTTCTTTCTTCTGCTTGACGAGTCTTGGTTTCTATCGTACCAAACTGTTTCTTTGTTAATGTGTCAGTCATACGTAGTGTGGATCATACTTGGAAAAACAAACGTAATGAATACTAAATAACGTTCATATTTAATGACACAACATTCAGTCATTCACGGACAAATTATTGTGGCGTGCTGCCAGGAAGGCCGGACTATAGAACGTCCACTGCTGGTCAACGGCTAGCAATTCCTAGGCAACGAAGTATAAACAGGCCGTTGCCTAGGGAAGTGCTTAAGCAACAGAGACCGAATTGTTCAGTTCCCACAGCAATGGATGCGCAACAATAGGGCGTCCATAGCTACGCAATGCATGGATAGACACGCCTGACAACAATACATGATATTCTTTGCTAAGCAGCAATGTGTTTTCTGTGGGTGGTCCGTGCCGAGCCTATATATGAAGCAGTGAACACTGTTCGAGAGGGTCCAATGAGCGGTAAGGGAAGAACCAAGATCGAAGACTCCGCCGAGAATAGCAGTACAAGGGTACAGCCACTGAAGTGGGAACGTGAGAGGCGTTACTGAGAGTTATTACATCTGTGAGTGTAAACAAATAATTGTCCAATAAATATTCGTCTAATCCGAAACCCATTGTTTCTTGTCGCGTTACCTAGGAAACACGCGACAATATTATGGATGATGCAACAAGTTCGCTCTTCGACGGGAAGCGTTGGTCACAGCTCGGTCAAGCCGTGACTAACTATAGTATACAGGATGTCCCAGGAGGAATGGGCCAGACTTCGGTAGGGTGTTCCTTATGTTAAAGTATGCCGATATAACCCAAGACACTTATGTCCAAAGTTGAACGGTTACGGAGATAATGGCCAGAGAAGTGTGAAACTTTGACAGGTGTTACACACATGTTGATTACCAAATACATATTAAAACTGGCAGGAATATGTGATTTCTGTAATGTTAATAATGTACGTAACATCAAACTAACTTTGAGTGACATGAAGCCATTAAATTGAACTACAAAAACTCGCACGCCATGTCAAAGTTGTCGTTAAGAGTTCCAAGCACTATGCATGACACATGAATGGCAAGCGCTGACGTAACATTGCTGACTGCGCGTTCTGGTATGCGAATGTATGGGGCTAACGTGAGCTGCCATCACTACACTCAAGGACAAACACAGATAAGAGTAGCCAGCTGACAGGTACAGTGCGCGGACCCGCCAGACGACCACACTTTTTTCGAGCCATTATCTCCGTAACCGTTCAACTTTGGACATAGGTGTTTTGGGTTTCATCGGCATAGTTTAACATAAGGAACACCCTCCTGAAGTCTGGCACATTCCTCCTGGGACATTCTGTATATGGACATAGTAAAAGACACGTACGATATAGCGAATTAATTACTCGCTTACATCTATGCTGTTATTTAAATTGGTTTAAAATATTCGAAATAGGTACTGATACAATGCCAGAGTGAATGTGATCCATAAAACTTAAAAAAATTCAATATTCATAACTTACCGCAGGGACGCCATCTGACGTGGTGAGGATTATGATGAAGAGAAGGAAGTTCCGAGGGCCTACGTTCGATTTCCGGTTGATGTTGACAGCCGCAACGTTGAACTGTGGGGACAAAATACATGTCACTTTTGTTAACAGGACATAAAATGGATTGCATGCAAAATGCACGCTTCATTGGTAGTATAAAGACGGGTGCATAAATGTGGTACCACAAAGGTAAACTAGTCCCTGTGTTTAATTAACCGCCACGTCATGAAGATACGTGGTGGGGTGTGGAGTTATGGCACCATACATTCCTCGCGAATGCAAAATTCCTGCCTCTGTAGGCAGACTCTCTGCTAGGCTTGGAAGCAAGGTATGTACCTACTGCAATGTTTCTATGGGCAGAAACTTGCTACCGAGTACTGTCAGATCATAAGCATATGAGGCGGTCTTTTTTGTGGAGGCTGAAATATTAGTTCTGAGAAACAAACAGTTTAATTTGCCCGCGAGATTACAAGGCGGGCGCGTGTAATCGGATTATGTCACAAGGCAGGCTTCGGTATTAGTTGTATTGAACCACAAAGACAAAGTTTAGTACAACCGAATATACGGCATATTATTTCAGAGTTATATTGTCCCTGACGTAACTGACATGCACGGTGTGTTCTCTTATGCAGATGGGTGGCTGTTACTACTCACAGATGTTTTACTTACTTTTGTTTTAGATATTAGTGGCAAGATAAGAACGGAAATGATAAACGGCGTTCTTCCTAACAGGTGTCCCAATCTGTTCTTTTTATTTCGGTGTCTCTGTGGTCTAGTTGTCAGAGATCCTGGCTACAGATCCAGAGGTCCCGGAGTAATGGGTCTGGAACGGGGTCCACTCAGTCTCGTAAGGATAAGGAGCTATTTCAATGAAATAGCGGCTCCGGTTTAGAAAACCGAGATTAACGGTCGCGGTGATTCGTTGCGCTGACCACGTGACACGGTCTATCCACTAAAGTTGGCACTAACTTCGCCGACAAGCGGCGGTCGCTCGGTCGGTATAGTTCGCTTGAGGACCACATGTCACGGAGTTTTTTTTTTTTGTACAACAGAAGCAGCAACTTCTAGATACTTAAGTCGATGGTGTGTTACAAGAAGCAAGGTTCTTATTTTGCACATCGTGCGTCCTACTCAGCTGTTGTAAAACACAGCGTTTCGGAAGTTGCGTTTGTGTCCATCATCAGATATAAGGAAAGAAAGGCTCCTACTCAGTTGGGCCCTCAGAAATGGAGACTCAGAGGTTGAGTTCCCAAAATATTGTATTTGAAAAAAAGAACAGAGAGCGTTGCACGGCGGCTGAAATAGTTTACGCAAGGACAGAAGGCTGAGCATGCTCACTCTGTGTGAGCGTGTGTGTGTGTGTGTCTGCAACTCCACCCATCCAACCTTACGTTTAAAACATATTGAGAAGAGTGTTTTCCCTAATAGTTACGATATAACCGTAAGCTTACTTATATTATTGGGGGCATGGGGTAGCGTAGTTGGTTGAGGCACTATGCTACAAGCCGCAAGGTCGCGGGATTGAATCCCAATAAGGTAGATTTTTCAATTTATCTAATCCTTCCAGCCGCACTTTGGCCCTGGGTTTGACTCAGCCTTTAACAGAAATGAGTACCAGAAATATTCCTGGGGGTAAAGGGCGTCCGGCGCGTAAGGCTGACCTCACTGCCATCTGTGAACCGATTATGTAGACAATGTGGGAGTCTCGACGTCTCACAACCCTATGGGCCTTCACGGCCTGTTAGAGGAATACCTTTACTTACTTTTACTTACATTATTACAATGCCAACGTAACTCGAGCATTGCAAGGTAATTTTAAATTCTTCTTTTAAAAGCCTCTTAGTTTCCCAGCTGACTTTGCGCATACTATTATGTACGAAGATCGCAAATGGAAGTAAAACAGCTGTAACGGACGTAATAGGTTTTCTTTGTGTATCAACAGGAAGTAGGATAGTCAAGCTTCATGCTAGTCTACTTAGCAGACGGGCATTTTCAGAGGCTTGTTTCAGTAGTCAAAAAAGCGACCGTGCTTGAGAAGTGTACTACCACAGAACATAGTTCTATTGTGCGTTTTCTGCGGGCAAAAGGTCTCAATACAAAAGCTACCTATAAAAAAAATGTTTCCTGTTTACGGTGGGAAGTGTTTATCGCGTAGAGCCTTTCGCAACTGGATCGAGAAATTCTCTCAAGGATATTCGAAAATTGCAGATGATGCCCGACTAGGTGCAGAAATGATTCAGGCAACAATCAAAAGATTTATATGCTGCGGATTTGGACGCAATGTTAAAATGATGGGACAAATATATCAATGTTAGCGGAGGTTATGTCGAGAAATAAATGTTTCCATGTTTTACTTTTTGCAGCCATTTGTGACCTACTTGCTAACTCTCCCTTGTAGAAACGCCTCGACTTGGAATGCTTTTCTGCATGTATAATCTATACGAATGCCAGAATAATACATATAAATATGTCTTTACATTCCTTCCGTAGACAAAGAGCCCTCTCAAGAAGTAAGCAGATCTGAAGGGTGCACAGTACTTGCACAAGCATCAGTAAGATGAATGACCCTTAGAATACACAGTCATTAATTTGTACATTCTAGCATAATGATTCACTTGTGGACTTTCAGAATAATAAGAACGCACCACAGACATGCATATGCAATCTAACCGCTAAAAGCTTTTCTACTCTAAACACATTATATTTAAATGTACTGCACACACGTTTGGACTCCCTCCCCAAACCTCTGTTACAAACTCGCTAATCACCTGCGCACAGACCAGGGTACACGCAGGTGGGTGTGCGCTTGTTGTACTAACCAGTAGTACCTACACCTGATGACAGATTCGAATGTTAACGTCCTTCAAAGAAAACACTCTAATTGGCTCTCCCGTTATTGGACTGCATTTCCATATGCCTGCTTCATTTCACAGTATATCGGCCATACAGTGGACTTCGGTTCGAAGTTTTCCTCAGTCCATCAAGGAAAATTCCGGGATTTTTTTATTGCTAGTGGGGTGGGACTAAGTCCCTTGTACTACGACCACTTCTGGCCTATTGTACCAGCCCCAGATGATAGGTGAGGGTGATTGTGGAGCAATTGGTGGAATGAAGATTGGCAGGGGAAACCGAAGTACTCGGAGAAAACCTGCCCCAGCGCCACTTTGTCAACCACAAATCCCACTTGACCAGACCCGGGATCGAACCCGGGCCGCCGCGGTGGGAAACCAGCGACTAACCGCTTAAGCGAAAAATTCCGGGATAGTACCTCTAGTAGGCCACGATCCCTTCATTCCAGATCCCTCCAAATTCAACATTTGTCAGCCATCCGGCCACTTTATCTAGCCTAGATATTGACAGCGTTGCAAACAACAAAGGGAATCCCTCAACATTTTCAGTAAAACTCTCTCAGGTATGAGGCTCTTACGAGAACCGAGAAATGCTGTAGCTCTCACTGAGTGCGGGTGTCAAGCTTACAGTACTAATAACAATGAAAGTAATAATAATGTATATCGAGACGCACCTGAACCTTGGCCTGGGATCCTGTTATGAATCGTACGAGCGGGCTCTTTATTTTACACTTTTATCGTTCCAGAGGGGGCTGTAAGCCACTGAAACGAAAATGGTCTGTCAGGTGCAGCGCAGCTGAGGTTAATAATTCAAGGAACATAAGTTCTGATACAGAAAACGGGTATAGTAGCTAGGGCTCTGCATTTTGTGGTGTATGCGTGAAGATGTACTTTGATAGTGAGAATTGAAGCGGCTGAAGCTGACCACTAACTCTCGTCAAGATTTGGAGCCATACTTTAACATCTGCGACCTCCAAGCTTGATAAGAGGGTAAGCCAGTCAGAGTGTACAACTAGGGTTGGAGCGATATCTTCCAGGCGCTGGAATTCGAGTCCAGGTAAGTAACTTTTTTCCTTTCCACATCGTCCAGGCCGGCTCCAGGGTCCACCAGTTTCTTACCTGTTTTCTAGGGCTCTTTCCCCGGGATGTGAAGCTGTTCGCTCACCTCCTTCTAATGCCTAGGTTAGTAATGTATGGAGCTATACCTCCATTCTCTTGAACTTCTTGGCGTAGCATTCAGTCAAGTGCATTTCCAGCCAGGGACAGGTCTCCAAGTACTGATAATAACCCGTCATAAAGAAGGAATGGGAATGTATTTGTTTTTAAATTCGCTTAGTGAGGGTTCGAGTCCAACTGGGACCACTCGGCACGGCGGCCACTGATTGGCCTATTGTACCTGCCCCTGGTGATTATGATCATGGGGAATTTGGTGGAATGAAGATTGGCAAGGGAAACTGAAGTACTCGGAGAAAACACGCCCCAGCGCCACTTTGTCCACCACAAATCCCACTTGACCAGACCCCGGGATCGAACCCGGGCCGCCGCGGTGGGAAGCCAACGACTATCCGCTCAAGCTATGGCGCGGCCTTGGGAATGTATTAATCGGATATTAATCTCATCGGGATGGATCAGGTGTAATACTGAGATTCTCTTGTCTCCTGAGTAGCTGAATGCAACTTCCATATTGCAGCGTTGGTTGTGATTTGCCATACGGATCGTCTGTACTTACTGCGTATTCTTCCCTCGTGCAAATTGCACTCAGTAAAACGAATTTCTCGTTTAATTCGCATATCTGTTAACATACTTCTGTTGCTGTACACTAATGTGTCCGCCTGTTCCAGCGTCACTACGCACAGACTCTCCCCGAGTGTGAGCTTACTCTTTCCAATCACACGTCATGATTTGTTGAGCCACACAATATTGTCATACGTTCCTGCCTGTTTGCACTGGCATTTATACACTAACTTGCCGAACCGTCTGTTTGTCACTGAAGTGTACTCGGTTTGTGAAGCCTTGTTTCATGTACAGAGATGTAAGATTCCTTAAGTTGTCTAACATATTGCAACGGTGCGATATAGCTTAAGCGCGCTCAACTATAGGACGAATGTTTATAGCTCGTTGCTAGGCAAAAGTCAGCGCGAATGAACTGGCGAGGTAGCTATCACGTGAGTCGTTTTCTCTGTGACCTTACTTATCCAACAATAGGACTGTCAAACAGTAATAAAT